TAAATGCAACTTGCTCAGAGCAATTGATTTTTTACGAGAAATAAATGGATTTGTATGCTCGACCAGTATTTGGCAAGCCAGTTTCCACCAAGCAATTGCTAAACTGTTGAATTTACTGTGCAGCATCTGCTGTATATCAATGTGGCAAACTATCAAAAATTATACACTACTATATATGCACGTTTAAACATATGTCAATTTTAACCCACGATCATGTTCTTTGTACTATTTACAAATCAGTAAACGCCCCAAAATTAGTTTGGATATTGATTTAAGTTTTGGCATTTTTTTGTGTGTTTTGGGGTTTTTTGTCTGTTTGTGGGTTTTGTCTGCTTGTTTTAACCAAATAGGCTCATTCATGTTTAGTAAAACATTGAATTTGGTTTATATTTGGGACTATCTACATCTACTAACTTTGCCTGAAAAAGAGACAGTACTATATTTCAAGTGTCCTATTTTTTCAAAGCAAAACTACAGAGGAAAGACAGAATAAGATCTAGAACAAAACCACCCAGATGTTGAGGGACTCAGTCCCGCAGTTAAAGCCCTACGGGCAGGTGATGCAAGCAGCTGGACAGACAGCCTGGGGAAGACAAATCCATTTGTAGTCAGCTCATGGAGGTTTTGGTCCAAAGGAAAGTATTTTCTGTAGGGCACTAACAAAAGTTCTACCCCTGAAAAAACAGCATTAAGGAAGTGAACATCGTGGCCAAGCACTCAGCCTTGCAGCCTGCTCTCCAGGCCCTGCTAGGTGATGGGCACTGGCTCTGGCCAGCATTGCCAGTCCTGGTCCTGCTCCCCACACCACAACATCTTTTTTTTTGTGAAGTTCCTCTGAAGAGGGGCCTTTCAAACTCTGGACACAAGGAGCTCATTTCTCTCTTGTGCCTCTGGCTGCCATATCTGGATGAGAGCTGTGTTTGAGCTCCTCTGAAGAAAAAAGGCAACACCCTCAAGACTGGCTCCAGAAGATCTCATTTCGCAATGGGTATATGAAATCCTCCAGCAGAACTTGTCCGGCCTGAACTACATCACCAGGGAACTCTATCAATAATAAAAGTCTCTCTTTCACAACACTGTGGGATTTCTGTACTCCAGCCAAATGAATTTTCTTTGAGTGAGTGACATTCTGATGTGTTCTGGGACAACTCCATAGGCATTTGCCAAGACACATGCTGGCTTCTTCAGACAAGAGACACGGCAGTTTAAACTTGGTTTAGCTCTTGAGTCTTGAGTAGCGACAGGCCATCTGGCACATTTCAGGAATACTGGCACTTTCTGCTCAGAGAGGTCCAGGACTTACATAAGGCAGACATGACAGGACAGGAGTGAAATGCACTGGCAGAGCTGTGTGCATGAAGCTTGCATGGCAGCAGTTAAGCCAAGCCAGTGCAGCCAGGACATCAATCTGCTCACAGCCACTCGGACAGCTCTGGAAGCAGCGCAAGAAGAGAAGTGAGTGCAAGGGTGAGGAGCAGTGAGCGAGCAAGGGATCAGCTAGGGGATTGCTGCTGGGAGGACGAGGCATCACTCAAAATGGTGCTGAGGGGACAGGCCTGCTTGAAGTCGGGCTATGGGTCAGAATGCAGCTGTATCAAAACCTCTTGGGAGGAGGGCAGAATAGAAGGATATGTTATGACAGCAAAGATGCTGGTACACAGAATCAGTACACAAAAAAACCCAGGAGAACCCGGAATGAGTTTGGGAATGTGGAGCAGACTGAGAAGCATAAAGGTGGATTTTTGCACTGGAAAGCTCAGCTGTTGCAGCACTGACTTCTTTCTGACTTGTTCTGGCAACATTGTATAGGACCAAGTCTGAATCAATGGGAGAAGAAAGTGTGGTTTTGGTCCTCCTAACAAAAAGAAGGTTAGTTTTAAGATGCAATTATATGAAAATTGAAAAGAAGATGAGAAAACCAGTTCTGTTGCTAGTTAGTATAATGAGATGTTCTTACAAGAGTCTGATGACTGGGAAAATAGAGAATTGCCATTCATTTACAGAAACAAAAGTCATTACCGAGGAATTTTTTTCCTCACTAAAAGACAAATGTGCAACTCCTTTTATTGCAGCAACTGCCATCATGTGCATTGGCTGACGATCCATTCTGGGCATGGATCACAACACTACTCAACACCTGCCCTCAGGCATTTTTTCACTCCATACTCCAAACTTCACATTGGACAATGTCTGACACCTGCACACAGATGCCACAGACTGGTTCCATCTTACTTTCATTCTCTATGGCTTGCCTGTAAAAGTGAAGATTTAACCAAGATAATGGTGTGATATGTTCTCCTTTGACTGACCTACTCTGAGCCAAAAGCTGGAGAAGAGGGTACACAAATCTACTTCTAATGCAGATTAAAATGTGTCTTTGGCACAGCATCCCCACACAGACTAATCATACATTCAAAAAAGTTGTTTCCATCCTTTTTCCCAGATTCCTGATGTCAAGAGAAGACCATTAATGATAACTCCCTGAGGCTCCTTCTCATTGTATTACCCAACGTCTCATTCACACCTAAGGCATCAGGACAGATGAAAGCAAAACACAGATGAGCAGTTCTTTCCCTGGTATTCAAACTTTAAATCAAACACCCACTTTGCTGTACTATAAACAGAGCTGCCTGTTTAGAGCACCAAGGCACTGCTGTAATATTTCTTTTTCTCTAAGATTTGACATTTCTCCTGTGAGAAGCAATTACAATAGAAGTGTCAAGCAAAAATAAATCCCTGTTAATCACAGTCACTGTGAGCCTGCCAAGTAAATCACATCTCAGCATTGCTGTTTTATTTTTCAGGTAGAAATAAAAAGAGTGTGAGAATGCCAGGCTCTAGAATTAATCTCTTCCCAAGAGGGGGTACCACGTTTTTGAAAATACAAGCTCTTCCTCTTGCGTGTTCACGACTTTGTGCGGAATTAGACAAGCACTCAAACTGAGTATCCAGTGATCATAAGAATAATTCATGTTGGAAAGATTCTCTGCAGGTTGTCTAGTCCAAACTTCATCCAAAGCAAGACCAAATGCACATTTAGGTCAGACTGCTCAGTTCAGCTGGTCTCAGGGGTTCCTGAACAGCTGCAAACCACTGGTTCCACAGCTTCTCCAGGCCACTGGGCCCATGCGCAGCTGCTCTGATCATAAATATCTCTTTTCCTAAATCTAACTCTAGCTGGGATTTCTTTCCCTGCAACTTGTGTACATTGTCTTTGGTGCTTTCACCATGCACTCCCAAGAAAGGATCTGACCCTGTCTTCTCTATAGCCTGTCTTCCCCTTCAGTTTTTTGTTCCCCAGACTGAACAAATGCAGCATCCTCAGCTTCCATTCAAATGTAGATGCTGTTGCCTTTTCACCCATCACAAGTACTGATATTATATATACATTTCTTTTGGTTTTGGTCTACAAATAGGCAGGTCTATGCATCTGAAAGGAGAAATGAGAAATGGAGAAGACTTTGGGCTCTTAGCTGGGCTATTATTTTCCCATACTTTTCAAACTCAGAGGCTTCATTCACTGTCCATGCATTACAAGGGAGCTGTCTTCAAATCATTTGAAGGGAATGGTACTGAGCTTGTTCCCCTCCAAATCTGAGAATTTTCTGGGAGCCCTGGAGAGAAGTTTTGTTCCTATTTTTTCTTCACCCTCTCACTATTCAATGTTGTGAAAACCAACCATTTCAAGACAACTCCTTCAAGGCAGCTCCTGTTCCAGAACAGAGTGCAAAGGAGCTGTTTCAATTGTGCCAGGGAGCTCCTAACCATGGTTTAAAGACACTGTGAGGTCTCCTGTTTCTTTTTTCTTTTGAGTAATGTAAGGCACCTTGATGATTAGATCAATTAATTTTTTTAATGCTATGAATATGAACAGAAATACCTGTTTTAGCTGAGTCAATCCTAAGACATTCAGTCTGCGTATTGCAGACTTGAGCTTATGCAATGAGTTTTCAAATCAGAAAACCGTTTTTTGCCCCAGGAACCTTCAAGAATAGTTAGCTCATACTTGATCCAGCCATAATCTGCAATTTAGTAACATAATTTTCACATCTCATTCTGGATTCATGTTTATTTTCTCCTGTAAAACCCTAACCCTGAAACTGCCAGTTATACTGAGTCACCACCCTGAAATCAATTTCAAACAGAAGAGCCTGTTGCTCAATAAAAAGAAAATAACTGGACTGAGATGCATTTAAGTAAAAATGTCATACCAATTTTCATATTCTGTGAATGACCCGCAGGAACCCTGTAGATTTGTACTCCTGTAGCTTAAGCTGGACATTTTTTCTGATACAAGGAAATCAAATCACACTCCTGAATCAATCAAAAACAACTTGAAACTCGCTCAATCCAACAATTTTTACAGTAAAAACATTTTTTAAGTGCTTCAGCTCACAAACGTTCCTCTGCAGGGAACCCTCTTTGCAATGGCTTGACACCAGCTGCACTGCCAGCATCCCTGTTGACAGGAGGAATTTTCCCATTTCTTCATAACAGCATAAAAATCCCAAGAACAAGAAAGGTCCCTTTGAAGTCCCAGTCTTCTCTGTTATTGGTGGTGTCTAAATCCAACAATGCAACTTTTGCATTTTTAATGATCATTTGAATTTTACTGCAGCATAGTCACAGTCACAGAGAATGATGCCCCTCACTTTTCAGAGCAGGATGGGAAACTTCCCTAAACAGACTCATCAGTGTGAGTATCTGGTCTGATTTGGAAAAAGACTTAGCAAGATAGAGAAAACTGTATTTGCTTTACAAAGATACACACAACATTATAAATTTAAAGTGTCAGGAGTAGAAAATGCTTGCTTATTAAAGCATAATTAAAAAACCTTTGTTCAATGCTTCAGCCTATAACAGAACAAAATCCAGAAAAATTAAGCAGAGGGAGGTGTTTTTTCCTTATGTTCCTTCTTTTTTGTGGCTTTAGTATGTTTGCTTATAGTCAGCAAATATAGTCAGCTTATGTTCTCTTCTCTGTTAACTGGGGTTCTTACCGGTGACGACGCTGGGGATTTTGGACAGAAAGCTCTTGACAGTGCGGATGGGAACTCCACCTGTTTTGTCATCCTGCATTCTTGTAACAATGTCTTCAATCTGTCAAAAGAAAGGAAAGAGTTTGTGGTTTATGCAAAACAGTGATTGTAACGTTTACATATCATGAGTACTTTGGAGCCCTGCTGGTAGGATGAGCTTCAAATATACCATGTGTATTACTGCACAAACACAGATCTAGAGACACAGCTATCATCCAAATTTAAACCCTGAGATTAGAAATCTTGAGACAACAGACAAGCTTTGAAGACAGTGATTGGACACTGACAAGCCAACTGCAACTGTGCTTTTTTTTTTTGCTGACCAGGGATGACAGAAAGGTGTTGTTTGCTCCACAGATGAACTGGGTTACACTTCAACCAGATTAAGGAGCTTCCCTTCCAGTCCACTTCTGCCTGTGTTCCCACATTCATTTGAATCCTCAATACTGTAACCTTGCGAGGGCTTTCATTTTCCAAAGGGTCTCAGACAGTCACCAACTGCCTATGGCTTGAGGGGAATGTAAGACAACTGTTGGAAAACTTGCCCTGCCTCATGCTGTAGGCTAGGATGGTACATGTCCGTGGTCAGCCTACAAGGTGAATAACCAGAGTAAAATGATTGTAGAGAAGAACTCGTTGGAACTTCACAGCCAAGCTACCTTTTAGTTCACAGGCACATGCATAATCCGTTACACACAGGAAAATACACGATCATCTTCAAAAGCCATGGCAATCAGAATATCCAATTACTGAGTGAAGGAGTTTAATTCTCCTCCTGTTTAGTCTAAAATGGGAAGAAATTTTTGCTCCTTTTAAGGCTATTCCGCATACATTTACTTGAAGGCAACACCAGGGAGAATAAAATGCTAAACATAAGCACAGTGCAGAAATTCAGTATCTCCAAAAACTCTCTTCAAGTTAATAAGGTCTCAGAAGCCCAACAAAAATAAACCAAAAGCTGTTGACTTTGTTAGCTCAAGCAGCTGACAGCACAGCCCTACCTGATGTTGGTGACAGGGGCCGAGGGCAGCCAGAAACGGAGTACAGCTCTGATTTTACCTAAAGACTTTCTCTTTACAGATGCTACAAAATGCAAACCCAGCAGAGAGGTTACATGGTGGGAGCACAGGCCCTCTCTCTCCTAAGGCAGCCTAAGAGCTCAACGTGCTCTCTTCAACTCTGGAAAGCTGCTTCATTTAGATGCACAAGTGAGTTTTTTTTTTTTCACAGACTTAACACCTACATTTCAAAACAAGTTTAATTTCAAGTCTTCCCAAGGTGGTAAGACAATCTCCTTGCCAACTTCAGACACTGAATTTGATCACTGTGTTTTTAACCTCAGGTTACCACTTAACTGAACTGTTCACACCTTGTTTATATATTTCTTGTAAGTTAACACGTCCTGAACAAATTCTCAGTGGGAATAAAGTAACAAAGAAGAAAATATCTTGAGATACTTAATAGGTTACATGATGGTTGGGTACGTACAATTAATTTGTGGTAGAATAATGCTACTTTTCCCACAACCCAATCTCTATGAAAATTAATACCACCTTTTCCCCTTCAGCTGAGCCTTATCCAAAGTTATTTGCTGATTAAAAATGTAGGGCTTTTTCCCAGTCTGAGGATATCTGGAGAAGGCACTGCTTATCTCTGATACCTGGAGGGGTAACTGCTCTTCTCCAGAGTGGACAAGAAGCATTTCACTGTGTTGAGAGCAGCCTGACACCATCACTTGTCATCAACTCAAGACCTACAAGGCTACAGTGCTCCAATGCCAGACCTACCAGGGGGACATGACATCTCAGTTGCCTGTGAAGGGTGAACATAAAATCACAGAATCGACCAGGTTGGAAGGGACCACAGCGGGTCATCTGGTCAAACCTCCCTGCTCAAGCAGGGTCATCCTAGAGCACACTGCATCCAGTCAGTTCTCAGATATCTCCAGGGAGACTCCACAACCTCTCTGGGCAACAGTCACCCACATATGCAGGTGGAACTTCCTGTGCATCAGCTTCTGCTTGTTGCCTCTTGTCCTATTGCTTGGCACCACAGAGAAAAACCTGATTCCATTCTGAGTTTTAAACTTTATACAAGAAGGTCAGTCAGACTAAGACTTCTGCAAGGCAATGAAAAAGCCTCTCTGTTATGTACCTTCATCTGTATGCACAAGTAGCTGACATCAGAGAAAGATTTTTTCCATGCATAGTAGGAGGAAATTACTCTAGAATGTGTTATGAGTCCTCCATGTCTCCAGGAACACTTAAGAGCTTCAAAAATCACAAGCATAATTTTTGGTAAAACTGTTGTTTTCTCTTTTTCTACTTCAATGAAAAGTTCAGAATGAAAAATAAGCTAAAATAATTACTTCAATGCAGGAAAATAAACTTTTTACTCTTTTGCTCACTGTAAGCTAAAGAAACATAGGCATGATTTATGCCAGTAACATCCTATGAAAAGTTCCACTTCAAGCAAAATAAAACTTTAATTATCTTAAAAGAAAAATACATTGTTTTTATTTAAAGTATTCCCTGTCTCAAACAATCAAGCAGGCACCGGTATCTCAAGTGGGGCCATTAATTTCAGTTTCAGTCACAATTACAAAAGCCTGCTGCAATTTTAAATCAAAACTAAAGAAATCTACCCCAGGGAATTCCTTCCCAAATGGCTCCTTCTTACTCTTGTCTTCCAGCCTGACTACTGGCACTTAGTGCTCTCCTTATTTCTAAGTGTTGGATATTTTTTTTTTTTCCTTTCTACTCAAACGCCACATCATCTTTCTTCCCTGTCCTCTCATTTGGTCTAGACATCACTATGCGTCATCCTCTTTTGGCATGCTCTGCATTTTCAGTCTGCTGCCCAAGAGTCCCCAGGGTTACAAGGCCCTGGTTGTACATACTCTTTCCATTCCCAACACACTCTCCTTGTGCTCTCCAGCAAATTTTTGCACTGCTCAGAAGGGACAGCATGGCATACTCAAGGAAACGTTTAATGATAATTTTATTCTTTCTTAAACTTATAATCAAGTATTAATTAAAATATTAAAAACCTGTATCTAGCAATCTATGTCCAGTTTGTGTTCAGTTCACTAAAAAGATAAGATCTGACCCTTTGTATCAATCAGCCTTTGTTTTGCACCCACCCAACGCTGGCAGATATTAGTAGCCTGGATCCAAATTCCTGCTGAGCTATGGAAATGTTTCATGAATTAAGTGATACAGTGACAAAGCGGAAAAAAGTGATTATTGGAGCCTCAAGTGTGGAGAAAAGCAGACAGGGAACATCAAGCATGAAGGTCACTTTCATCAAAGCTTTTAATCTTAGCTTTTAAGAGAGTTACCGAGACACTTGAGTGCTAATGATTCTCCCTTCAGCTTCTGCATGTCATTAAATACCCCTCAGGTTTCCCTGTCTGCCAGAGTCCCTGAACAGTTCATTTCATCAGGGTAGGAGGCAAGAATGAGTACAACAAAGCATTCTCATATTTATCACTCCTATATGAGCAAGTTTCAGTGAACTAACTTTTGCCCAACAAAAGTCAGAGTAAGAACAGGCAATGGTTTTTTTTTTTTTTTTTTTCCATGATGGGGTCACTGCTGTTTCAGTCTAGTCTGATTTTGCATCATTAAAGAAATGGTTATTCTTCCCTCCAAGTGGATTCTGGGTCGGTATCTCCCTAAGAAAGCCAGAGCAATTCATGTATCTGCTGTCCCTGTTAGCTACACAGTGTAATGTATGCCTAACAAACCAGATCTGCCTTTCCTCCTGACTGGTTGCTGACAACTCTGCTCTCTACATTTCTCCAAAATGTTTTTATTTCACATTATTCCATTTGCAATGCATTGAAAAGGGCTTCTGCCTTCAGGAACACATTAGTGGAGACATAAACTACTGCAAGTAGTTTATGAGAGGCTACCAACATATTCTGTGATACAGAACGTGTTGGGGATTTAATGTGTATGTAGGATTTGCTACTACTCATTAGACCTTCTTTTCCACTATCAGCACTTTTGCTGGCCTAAGGAGGTTGAAGGCACAAAGTAGAAGAGCTTGAATTTCTGTCAGAGCCAAGATGTCTATCACTGGAAGATGAGAAGTCCTTTTTCTGAGAAAGGGGAAAACAAAAGATTACATTTGTTGATGTGTTAGAATAACTAAGTCATAATACAACAACAAATGTAACCACCACAACCTGGGAACTTTGGGTCAGTGTCACACAACATTTTTGGTGTTACCATTATAAGAGGGAAGACGACTCTCAGCTTTGCAGTAGCTTTTATTTCTCCCAGCACCAAAGTAAAGGAGGCACTTCTGCTGCACGTTAGCAGGCAAGCCTTATTGAGCCCTGAGCACGATCAACCTTGAAGGTGACACACAAAGGGAAAGGGCAAGTAAGACATGAAAAAGAAAAGCTAACAGTTCCCTCTCCCCACAACCCCATACCTGGACACCAACAGCAGCAACTGGAGCTACCTGGCTGAACTTGTTCGATTGCGACTGAGTGATGACCACATCAGAGGCCACCACAGTCCCATTTTATTTTTGTGAGCTAGTGAGGAAAACAGCATGCTTTTCATAATCTAGCCTCTGAATTAGCTGCACACAGTCCCTTGAACCCTGCAGGAAAGCTCCTGCTGCTTATTTCTGAATATTTTGGTATGCACCAGGCTCCTGACCAATTACTCACAGCAGCTACCCTACTCTTGGGGATTCCTGTCACCAGCTAACCCATGGCTGGAGAGTCTCCAAGCATCACTCATCGGTGCTGACATTAAATGTACAGGGTTAGATAGACAGCTTTGTGCAATTGCAAATATCCTCTTTGACCTAGCTGACGACAGCTCTCAGGCATACTGGTGGAGCTGGATGGTGCATGGAGGAAAGGGTCAATCTGTTGCCAGTTAGCACGATGGCAATAATTATAAACACATTTGGTCTTTTACTGTTGACTGAAATGTAAGTTTAAAATAGACTGTTTCTCACAGTGCCAACTCTTATGGGTTCGATAAGTGCCTCTTACTAGCCCTCTGACACTGCCAGTGTGCCTGTACCTTTTGCACC